TGCAACTGCCACCACCAACTTAAACGGAAACTTTAATGATGCATGTAAACATAACAAGGAGATCGCTCATGTAAGTTTGAATATTAGTTTTCCATATTATCTGAGAAAAAGGTAATTCACAGGTTGAGATTGCTAGAAGACATGAGGACTACTATCTCTTCACCAATGCTTCACATCCTCAGTTTGAACTTATAAAGACAGGGAACTTTTGTTGATAAGTTTTTTGTGACACCTCCCTTTGCTGACATCTTTGCTTCTCTTCGTATACTCATCCTCTTTCCATTTATTCATCTACTCAGAAAGAAGTTCTGAAGTCCAGAAATAAGGAACTGGTCCAACTGTTTGAATATGCCGTTGGTATCCATCATGCTGGGATGTTACGGGATGCCAGAGGCCTGACTGAACGACTTTTCTCCGAGGGACCTTTAAGGATATTATAACACTTCTCAACTCATATATTTGAATATTTAAACATATTTTCCTTTGATAGATGCTTTTTTTTCTTTCTAGGTACTCGTTTGCACAACGACTCTAGCATGGGGAGTAAATTTTCCTGCTCACACTGTGGTGATTAAGGTTGTTCTAAATTAAAATTTGAATATTACCTTTTTGATAATGCATCTCTTACGTGTATGGATTTGCATTTTCAACTCTTCAAATGCTTTCTTTGTTTAAGTTCCGCCTAGATTTGTCTATGCCTCTCGTATTCTGGTTTTCTTCAAGTTAATGCTTTGGTCCATGGTAATCTTGTCCAACCCTCATATCACATTACAATAATTGCGATGGAGCATATCTAAATCTTGTTGGGTTTTAATTCACGAAGATAAGATTTCAGGTCTTTCGTGGTGTCTGAATTGTTAGAGATTGTATTCTTGTGCTGTACTTGCTCTGTTTAAATTGTTAAAGATTGTATTCTTTTGTTGTAGCTCTGTTTTTCTTGTAACATCCCTATGTTGTTCCTCGTCTCATTTTCATTCTCCCATGTTAGACTGTCTTTGGAAGTTATAATTCCCCATAAAGCAATAAGCATTCAATCACTTCTTCTGTAGTTGAAATTGTTGTTGTGTTGCTGTACTTGTAAGTCCAATGACCAGGCTGGTAATGTTACTTATGCCTTTTTCTTCATGGAACTCAAATATATGGCCCAAAGGCTAGTGGGTGGCGAGATTTGGGCATGCTTCACGTAATGCAGGCGAGAGTCAACCTTATTCTCTCTCTCTCTCTCTCTCTCTCTCTCTTCTCTCTCTTCTCATGTCTTTCTGAGTTTAATAGATATTCGGTCGTGCTGGAAGACCCCAATTTGATAAAAGTGGTGAAGGCATCATAATAACCTCTCATGACAAATTAGCATATTATTTGCGTCTTATAACCTGTCAACTTCCAATTGAGAGTCAGGTAAATTCTTAGTTTTCTATTATCTTTAAAATTGTGATTGTTAGCTTATATGCTGGATTAAGAACTTTAAGCTAGTTTTGGAATTCCTAAAGGGACTTTGTCTGTGTTTGAATAAACAGAAGATTCCTGGAAATTTTGATCTCTCCAGATTATAAGTTTTCCTGGCTTAGAACTTTGTTGGAACCATGAGATCTGAATTATTAGTTATGGTTAGTGGCATTTTCCATATTCATGTTTACTGTTATTTGCACTTTATAAACTCCTTGAAAGATGATCAAAATGCTAAGATAGCTTTGGGGACTGTGACAAATTGTGCTTGGTTGGGATACACATAACTTTTCATAAGGATGAAAATGAATCCACTGGCATATGGTATTGAATGTGGTGAGGTACTTTCATGTTTCAACCTCTTGTAGTATAGTCAACATACTACTCTGCTGCCTATCTCATTCTTATGTCATTAATTATATTTTTTATCTGTAGCGCCCCTTTCGATTTATATGAATTATCGTATTATTATATTCTGCTTGCTTGCATCTTATTTGTCGTTATTTCATTATTTCTTGCACTTATTTAACTCTTATGTGCTCGTTGTACTAATGTGATTTCATTCGCCTTATGCGATTTCCTCGTTTATTTTAAGTGCCTTGTACTTGTAAATGTTATGTGATTAATTTTATTATTATCTCATGTGTATGGATTTGTTAGAATTAATTTTAACTGCTAGTTAGTTTCGTTCGAACATTCTTCGTTTAAGTGCATAGGAATTACTTTCGACCCATTTCGACACTTTTTGGTGTTTTATATCCGAAACCTGGAGGTTTAATTTTTCGGATCCTTAAACTATTAAATTCAGCCCTAAAGTGATTAATTGTCCAGCTCAAATAATTTATTTTCTGGCCCATTTTGTTGGGAGTTTCGGCTCACATTTTCGTTAGTTGATTTGGCCTTTGTGCTTTTGGTTTAGGCCCATTAAGAATATGTTTAATGTTAGCCCAAGTCACTCTCTTTCTCTCTCTCTCTCTCGATTTGGCCTAACTCAGCAGCCGCTTCACGTTTCTCCCTCTGCTCACTTCATTTCTCGTCCAAACTCCCTCTCCCATGGAAAGCTGCTATTTTCCTGACGAAGAGAGCCATTTTGGGCAATCTGTTCGCCACCGGAGTGGTCTCAGCCGCCGTCGCGTGCCTCTGTTTCGCGAGCAACTCGCCGCCGTCTCTCCCCGCGTTCAGTTCATCCATCGCCGAGGAGTCGTTCGCCCGAAATTCAGCCACCGCCTGCGTCCCTCAACGGCCATCGCGAGCAGGCCGTCGAAATTCACCTCGCCTCCATTCTTTTCGGCCGGCGTTTTACCAGCGACAACCTCGACGAGCAAGCAGCCGAAGGTCGAGACCAGCGGCGAGAGACCTCTGTCCGCGCGAATAGTAGACGACATTGAGCCACCCAACGAGCAGTCCATGCAGCGAGCCGTCGTCGAGAAATTCTGTACCAGCAGCGATTCCGGCGACCTTCCCCCAGCCATCGTCCTCTCCGACCATCGTCCAGTCGCATTAAAGCCAACACCGTCGAGAGCTGCATTTTCCGACGGCGAGAGCATCGGGATAGAGACGGCGAGAGTATCGAGATAGAGCCCTGTCTTTCGGCGACTTCCAGGTGAGCAGGCGCGCGGCTGACGAAGGGCTATAACCATCCGACGAACCGAGCGCCACTTCCCAGCGAGAAGTAGAACAGCGACCTTGAGCCTCGAATTCTAGCGACCAGAGCTCCATACGGCGACTCGTTCTCGGGGTGTTTTAATCCTTTTTCCGGCGACCTGGTTTTAGCAATAGTCCCTCGTTGGCCACTCGTTTCACAGCACCTATCCGAGCAGCGGCAAGGCCATCGTCCGGCGGCGGGCTGCCGGTGACTTGTCGTTCAGTAGCCGTTCGAGTTCACCGGGCCGTTAGCCGTTCAGTTTTCCTTTTCAGCGTAACTGCCCGGATTGTGAAATTTCAGTCACGTGACCGTTCCCGACGAGCAACAGGTTCCGCTTTTTCAACCCCGCCATAGTCGATCGATATCGGCACTTCTGTCGGGAGTTCACACGAGCAGACTCAGCCCTTAGAACAGCGAGCAACGACTGTTTTTCCGTTGTCCGGGAGTGAGCAGTAGGCCACACGTTTGTTGTCTAACAGCGGCACATCGAGAGCCCAAGTTGCAGCAAACCGAGAGCCGAGAACCGAATTTTTTCCGGTGAGAGGTATTATGGCTTATCCTTGGCTTGTCTCTTGGTTGTCGATGTTAAATGAGCTCTTGTAGCCTGTTTACGTGTATACTTGAGACTCTGTACTGACATATTGCTAAGCATTATGATGTGAGGTGATTATGAGGCATATTAGTGTTGATTGCTTTAGTCCTTCTGTTGAATTATGTGCTGAGTAAATTTCTAGGTAAGAGCATGCTGACATGGATCTTTTCAGAACCTTGGTGTCAGATTAGTTGGCCTATAAGTGTGCTTGTTTTTTTTTCCGAAAAGAAAAGAGATGCTTGAATATTGTATTTTTGTGGGTTGCTTTTGTGATGTTATTGAGGCTGAGATTTTGTGAACTTTTCATGCCTCATATATGTTAAATCTTTGTGCTGAAGGTTGAATCCCATGTTTTAAAAATGTGAAGAAAAGTGAAGCTTATGTTTTGAGATGTTGCCCTGTTAATCATTAAATCGGCCTCGTTTTGTTTTGAAGCTTTCAGAGCTGATTGTTGTGAGATTTTTATGTTAAATTCATGCCTAAGTTGCAGCCTACGTTGAGTTGTTATGCATGTGTAAATTTTGAGAAGTTTTGGTTCCCAGCCTAGTTTATTTTAAAGAGAAATCCCATTCTTGAAGAGATTGAGAAGTTCTGGTTCCCAGCCTACTTTAAGTTCAATGACCAAATTAAAGTTGTATTTTGATATCAATGTTTCTAGTAGACGTCGGTCCTAAACATTGCCGAACATCATTTATCATTTTGGCTTGCTCAGTGTGAGCAACAATGCTCTTGGAAGACTATAATTATTTTATTACTTATGCTAAAACTCTGATTAGGGATATCCTGGGAAGTATTACTGCCCGAGAATGAATATCTTGAACAAAACCCACTTATGCTGCTATATGTACTCACTCTCCTACCAAACCAGTTATATTTGTTTCATCATGTCGTCAGACCAGGCTTACTGCATTGGAACTCATTCAGGTCAGAAACAATCACAATATTTTTTTATTCTTTTTTTAAATCTCATTGTAGCATGGTTGCTTATATTTTGTTGCTGTAACTAAAGTATGCAGCTTCAGATGAGCACCCAAGACAATTCCTTGCTATACCTGAAGATTCATTACAGATGATACTTTCCCAAGTAACTGATCAAAATCTCAGAGACACGCTGCAGTTTGGCATCGGGTTGCAGCATGAAGGATTGAACTATAAGGATCGATCTCTTGTTGAGGAACTTTTCGCAAACAACAAGATTCAGGCAATTAATTTATACAACTTTAGGATTGGAATATAATTTTTTCAAGAAGTTAACTCCTTTCTAAATATATAGTTATATACCTGTTTATGATATCATATTCTTTTCATGCATCTTTTCAGGTGTTGGTTTGCACCAGTACACTAGCATGGGGTGTGAACCTTCCAGCTCACTTGGTTATTATAAAGGTCAGTGAAAGTATCTTCTCTGTATATACACGACTGGCTGTAATCAGATCATCTGTATATAGTATGCCTGAACTCATTATACCTTATTTTTTCCTTATATGGACTTTTGGAATACTTGGCCAGCACAAATTTCCTTAGATACTGAGTGATTGGGAAAACAATGATCAGAAACCCCCTATTTTGACACAGGTCCCGATCATTTGTGCATGTCAAATTGTTACATATATCTTGGAAATTGCTGCAACTTGTCTCCTTTTCTCTTTTATTTTTTGGGTTATCTGTAACGATATTCACATTCAATTGGTTACTTATGAGGGGCTATGAACTTGATATACGAATTTGTGGAGTTAATGTGATAGCGCCTGATAGGAAAGTTATATTTCTCACAAGTAAAATAAATATTGCAAGTTAAAGTAGCGATGGACCCCTCAGATTTTTCTTTTGATTTTAAGCCTAGAGAAAAATTCGGAAGAAAAAGTGCATGTCAAGTACAAGCGAATTACCGCCCTTTTAGTAGTGGAAAGCAATCAAGCACAAAAGTTTTTAAACTAACTTACCTCATCTCATTTTCCTGAGCTCTGACATAATTAATGAAAACAAAGGTTAAACAGCTAATGTATAAATTTGTGCACAAACAAGAGATTGCAGCCAGTTGAGGAATGGAGTGGAATTTAACTGTCAACAGAAGGAAGATTGATAAAATATTTGCTAGAAGAGTAGTGTAAGTTATAAATTTTTCATTGTCCTAACAAGGGAAGTTGGTAACCTGTTTTATGAATTTCACGAGCCTCAACCTTATAAAATTGTTGGTTTGTTTTATTTTTATATTTTTTTACCATGCTAATTACATAAGTTTTATTTTGTTATAAGCTATAGAGAGCACCTGATGGAGAAACAAAATAAAGCCTGAAGAATCCTGACTAATTTTAAAAAGGAAATATTATTCTTAAAATGAAATAGCAGTGGTTTGCATATGTTTATACTATAATGCTTAGAAGCCTCCTGATAAATTTTCCGGCCACTGATTTCACTTGGAAACAGACAAAAGATATATTGCTTGTCGCACTTTGAGGTTAACGAGTCACCTAACATTTTATTTGCCGATCTATACTTAAAATTTGCATTAATTGCACTACACTTTGGTATGTTTTTCATTTAAATTTTTTTCTTCAAATTTATTTGTAATTGTATTCATAAATCATCTCTTATAAACTTTGTGATCAGGGAACAGAGTATTTTGATGCAAGAGCAAAAAGACATGTCGATTTTCCTATTACCGATATTTTACAAATGATGGATCGAGCAGGAAGGCCTCAGTACGATCTTCATGGGAAAGCTATCATTCTTGTTCATGAACCAAAAAAGAGTTTCTACAAAAAGGTCTGATATATTGATTTATTTTTGGTATAACATTACGTGATTTATTTCACATTAAGGGAAAAATCTTTTTACTTATTTTTGAAGTTTCTCTGTGAACCATTTCCAGTTGAAAGCAGTCTCAGAGAACAGTTGCATGATCACTTTTATGCTGAGATCGTTTCTGGAACAATTAGTCATAAAGAGGATGCAATACATTATCTCACCTGAACATATTTATTCCAAAGATTGGTATGTTATTTCATGTTTTGAAATTTGAACATGATATATTGTGTCCTGTCATGCGACTACGGCATACTGTTTTGGACAAAGCATAATGTCACTATACCGTGCACAATAGCTGGCGCGAATATAAAGTTCTGTAGCTAAAGACTCATTGTTGTCGATGAAATAGTTTTACTTCCTGTGTTTTATAGTTTAAGGAAAACACAGGCCTGGTAACATAGGTATATGCTTACGAGTATCATTTACTTTTTTTTGGTACAAGTGGTAACTTTTGACAACTTGGTGGACCTATAGAATGTCAAATTATGGGAAATGCTGAGACAGAAACATACTCAATTCTGTGTTACAAGTGTTACATTTTTTTCAGAATCTAAATTTGTTTATATATACATATCTTTCTTCTGTTCATGTTGACTCACTCGTGCCAGGTTATGTCTATCTGTTACAAGATTGACCTTTTGTAAATGTAATGGCCTTCATGCGGATGTCTTGCATCTTATATATGTTAAACTCAATTATGAGACATCTAAATGTATGAAAAAAGTTGAAAATCAGAGATGTTATCTTTTGTTGCCCACAAGTTGTTGTTCTTGTGCCAGGTGGTTAATCCAACTTATTATGGCTTAGAGGACACAGATCCTTGAACTCTGAATTCTTACTTGTCAATACGTGTTGAGAAACGAATGGCTAATGATAATCCTCGTGTTACTCTCAACATAAAACTGGAAAGGACAAACAGACACAAGAAAACATCACGAGCTTTTGCTCCTCGATTTCCTAAGGTTGGCTGCTTTCCAGCCTCCATGTAGAAAAAATATCATTTACTGGAGAAAAAATAGCTGACACTGTCACATTACAGGTAAAAGATGAAGCTTGGTGGTTGATTCTCGGCAATAGCTCAACCTCTCAACTCTATGCGTTGAAGAGGGTGTCTTTCATGGATTTCGTACAAATAAGCATGGATATACCATGTTAAAGACACCCAGGTAGGAGAAGTTTCGACTCAGTATCAATAACCGAGCATCATTTTTTGATAATTTGGTCTCTATCTAATATTTTTCATGTCTTTTTTATTTAATATTTGTCATGTCTTTTTTTTAATGCTTAAACCTTTTTGTTTCAAAATTTTATGTTTGCGATAAAAATATGTTTTTCACATTAAATATTGGTGTATGTGTTTGAAACTAAGTTTTTCCATACACAGTTCACATCTTGAATGATTTTGTGCTTGGTCATATTTGTGGTGAACCTTTTTCGACTATAAGTGTTCGTGCCTTCTAACTCGTGAGTTTCTTGTTCCTCAGGGTATGAAGTTGATCGTTGTTTCAGATTGTTATCTAGGGTTTGACCAAGAACACGCTATCCAGAGACTATCGTAACCCGACTTTTTTTAACAGAAACATGATGGGGTATAGTTCCTTGTTTTTTGTGGCAGATATACTGATGATAATACCTCCCATGTATAAGTATATTTTGTTAAATATAGTTAATAGTATAGTACTACCTCCTATTTTAAATAGATGTCGTTTTGGGATGTTGCACATCTATTAAGAATATTTTTTTTGTCAATAATAATCTTATTTAATGAAGATAGAGATGAATGTTTTGAGAAAAAGATGAAGAGTGATTATGAAAAGACGTGATGTATTTATTAGCTAAATGAGGGTAATAATGGAAAAATATGTACAAATGATTCAAAACGATATTTATTTAGCAAATAGTTGATAAAACTAGAATGACATTTAAAAAAAAATAGGAGGGAGTATTAAGTAGTTCAAAAGTAAATTGTTTCCTTTTTCAAAATATATACCAAAATGAGAGTGTGAGCCGATATTGAAAAATGCTCACACATGCTTGTTGAATTTGCACACGAACTTGATTAATTGTCTTTCTACTTCAGTTCTTGACAGTCTCAATTTAATTTAGTCATAAGATCGGTTGTTTTCTTAGTGTGTCGCTTGGTTTACTAAAACTATCCCCCCAACCTAAAGTGTTAAAGGGAAAAATAAAATAAATAAGTAAATAAATCTTCCAAAATTCCCATATGAGCCCATTTTTAGAGTAGGATTTAATTTATTTATTTATTTATTTTTTCAGTTGGGCATGTTTGATTTACTTTGGTCGAAATAAATGATTGGTTTGTGTTTACTTATAACTAGTGTGGTACACGTGCGACGCACGGGCTAGTATATTAAAGAAAATATTTAGATTTTGATGATTGGATAATTGGTCAGAACATAAAACGCATGTATTTGAATAAAACAAAATATTACTTATATATTATTAAACATATCAGTGTACACAACATTATTTGTTTAGTTTTTTTGTACATCGTCATCGCCTCACATAACGTTAGCTACATAGAGCTAACTTTGACTGAATATCGGTTTCTTCAAGAAAAGACAAACATACGATAAAGATTAATTATATCTCTTAATTATCGTCATGGCATATGAATCCATCATTGAGAATTGTCTTCATTGGAATTCGAAAGTATATTCTAACATTAGAAGAAGTTAACATCCACGGAACCAACACACGTTCGCGGTAATTGTCTTGGCTAGAATTTTACAAATATATATTAGATATAAACATGTATAGATGGACATAAAATATATCTAGACCATTATAATAACCACTTCATATAACATTATTTGGTTATATAACTTGTTTAAAAGCCCACTTAAAATGGGCTGCTTATTGATTTTTTTAAGGACTAGAAAAAAAAAATTGTCATATTTTTGGCCCAAAGACAAATAAATCCATTAAGTTCAATTTGAATATCTAAGAGGAATTTACATGCTCCACTTGAACAATCTAAAAATATTACATAATACACTCTCTATATAATTATTTACAAATTAACTAAAATTGTTATATATATATTTGCATATATGCCTAAAAAGTTGATTTCCTAATTATATGGTAACTTCTCACCTATTTACATGGTAACTTCCTATCAGCTAGGTCTCTTTCCTCTCCCTTATCTCTCTCTTCTTTCACACGGAGAATACAATTCTTTGTTCTTACGTTTTTTTTCTTTTTAATTTTTTATAGGTTGATGAAAGCTAATGAAAGCATCGATTATTTCCTGAGATTTTGGATGATGAAGGCTAATAATATTTTTCATCCATGTTTGTACAGCTTAAGAGGAAAAGGCACAACTAAGTTTGTAATTGCATCCATATTTGGTCGTACCATCCCTCTAGGTTTTTTTTTTTTTTCAGGTACAAAATCATGTGTATGTTTGTAAAAAAATGCGTCTTTAAATCTGTAAATTTCTTGAGATTCTGGACTATGAAGGCTATTGATATTCCGTATTGGATTTCTTCTTTTGTGGATCTTTCTCCATATTTGAAAGCATCGATTATTATTGTTTCATGATTCATGATCGCAAGGTGATTGATTTTATTTCTTTGTGAAATCACATTCCTTCTTCTTTATGTATAGTATATCTACGGTATATGTACAATATATGTTCACGGCAGTATATGTTGTGTGTATAGGCATGCAGTATATGTGGGTGTATAGGGAGTATGTGTTCAGTATATTAGAAGGTTTTGTTGTACACTGTTCAATATATGTTATGTGTATATAGAGTATATGTTACGTATATTGTATTGTATAGAGAGTATATGTTTAGTATATTATAAGATTTTTTTGTATAAAGAATATAAGTAACCTGTTATACATGTTTTTCGTTGCAACATATACTGAATATATAATTACATAAACCTAGTATATACCACCTGACGGCTGCGTGAATTACAATACATGTTTTTATTTCTCTCCCTTAAAAAAACGTACAAGCTGCGGGAATTAAGGAAACGGTTGATTTTTTATTTTTTATTTTTGGAAAAGGCTGATTTCATTCCATATCAATGAAGACAATTTTTTTTTTTCTTTTATGGAAATGGCGGAAATCATGGGAAGAGAAAGTGGATAGGATCCTCTTTTTAGGTAACTGAATTTTAGGCATAAATGTAGTTAAATCTTGACAATTAGGTAAAGATACAATTATTTATTAATGGATGGTAGATTTGTAAAATTTTTAATTTCATGTAGGATAAGTGAAAATTTCCCAATATCTAACGGAAAAAAAAGTCAAATAAAACGGATTGTATTCATTTTCACTTATGTATTTAAATCGAAAAATCATTATGGATTTAAATCGAAAAATGACTGATCTTCAGTTATTTTTCGATTTAAATCCATAAGTGAAAATAAATACG